CCACCTTTGCTGGCTCAGCACCGGACATGTTATCCTATATCTCCCCTTGGGCAGCTACTGTGCAGCTTATCAGCAGCCCAGCACAGGGAGTGCAACAGAGTTTGGCCGCGGTGTCTTCACTCCACTCCATCCTCCGTTACTCCCCCTCCCGTTGCAGCTGCGATGAGGGCAGATTGTGCTGCCCAGGGAACCGTGGAGGAGCAGAGTCCGAGCGCACCAGCCATCCTGGAAGTGGCAACTGTGTATCACCCCAAGCGAGCTTCTGTAATGCCAAAACTTCTGTTAGGCCCTAGTTTTCCTGTCAGTTCCTGCTTTCAAACAATTCTTCCACATTTCTATAACTGTTAATGTTTTCCCACTGTATGCTTCATCTTGGAAGGGGTTTAGTGTACTTCAAAATCTTTTAAAAGTAATTATATAGTTCAATGAACACTGTAAAGAGGAAAGAAAAAAAGAATTTTAAATCACATGCAATGTTGATGAGCTACTATCTGCAGTTATTAAACTTCATTCTGATTATTATTAAACTTCTGGTTATTATTAAATTTCATTCTGATGTAGCAGGGAAACACTATTTACCAGGTTTAAGCTATTGTGAAAGTGCCTGCATTTTGACGGTGGGCATCAATTTGATTCAAGCGTTCTATGTTTAGTCAAGAATTAAAAACCAGTGCAAACCATAAATATGCTGTTACATGCCATTCAAATTCTTTAGCTTCCCTTTTTAACATTGGTTGATAAATACATTAATACAGCTCACTACAGAGCAGTAGATGAGATCTATGCACTTTGGTGTTTGAATTAACCTCTCACAGCATGTAATAAACTACTTGCTGAATGATATACTTGTAATCTAATTTCCCTGAATTTGATGGAAACTGACAATTATTTGGACTTTCAGCAATTTCACAGTGACTGGATGAGCTGAACAAGTTGTTCCATGTTATGACTGTGCAGAAACTGTTACTCACTGAAGAATTCCATTTTCTTTTTTATGTGACACACACTTATTGTAAGAATAATAATTACAAACAAATCTCAACGAATTCTCATTGTAAATTTTAATATACCTTTGTTTTCTAGTATATATGCTGCCTAAATAGTCTTTTTTTTACTTAAGGTTATGAAAAAATAAAATTTCAATATTATGGTCACATTATACTTCCCAAAACAGGACACCGTTGTTGTCCATTGTTGTGTGTTCTAATGAAAAAAATCTCATTATAATTTGCTGCTTGGCTCAAGTGCACAAGTGTTCCACAAAGATGGCTGTAGTTATCAGAGGTGCATCAGGATCCTCCCACCCCTCCACCCACTGAGATTGTGCAGATCCCCTGAGTTACTTCCAGCCCTGAGCTAAGGCACGTGGGAATTTTATTTCCAGACCCACAATGCCTTGACTGCTCCAGGCCCAAAGCAGCAGATGAGGGAGGTGATAGAAGAGCATGGTTTGATGTTCTTCCTCGGAGTATTTCTATATGGGGAGAATAATTTAAATAAACTTAAGCAAAATAGCATTTCATATCGAAAAAGCTCTATAAAACTTTCAACAGAAAGGGCCTTAGAATCTATCCAGCATGTACTATTTGCTGGAATTTGCTGCTGAATTTGAAAAAAAAAAAAAAAAACCCTGATATTTTCTAACAACAATATTAATGTGCTTTCTGGATTTTGACAGGTAGGAAATGTTGTTCAGTTTCAGTGTAAAAAAGGACACCTTCTCCATGGCTCAACAACAAGAACTTGTCTTCCTGATCTTACATGGAGCGGAATTCAGCCAGAATGTATACGTAAGTAATGTACAGAATGAATAAATATTTCTGCCAGTCCTAAAATTAGTAATTAGTTTCTAACAAGGCCATTTAAGCAATAACATCAATGTAACAAAGTTAATATATATTTACATTACTAGCTTACAGCAGCTAGAAATATGAAATGAAGTAAATGAAATGAGTAAAAGAATTCCATTTTTTATTGTTTTGTTTTGTTTTCGTACAGTAGCCTTTAGAAATGAAAAGAATTAAAATCATGGGAATATCATGGGTATTCATTAATACTAAATCTGATCCCTGCTGAGGGATAGAGGCTTTTTCAGCTGGCCAGAGATGCTGAAAATGGTAACAATTTCCAGCAAGTCTCACCTTATAAGAGAAACTTAGGAGGATCACTTCAGCATATTGTGAATATATGTGAAAAGCGAACAGTCTTAGTGATTCAGCTGGTGCAAATGTTTCCACTAAGCAAATATCAAATCATTAGTCCAGTAGCTCTAGTCTTAGTGATACACTGTTTCTGAGATAACACAAAATGCTGGTGGCTGTTACAGATGTGAGACACTTTCCTTGAAATTAGGATTGTTAATTGATTTCTGTACCTAATATTTAAAAATGGCATAATCTAAAAAAAGATATATCCTTGACTTTCATAGTATTTTCCTAAGTGACCTTGTTTACTTAATAAGTAAGTGACACTGTTATTCAATACTACACAGGTGTTACAGTTCATATAATGCTGGGATGTTTGTCTTCACATATGCAGACAAAATTTTGGTCATGCAGGAGTGCATTTAAGTTGATTCTTAGTCCCTTGCTAAGAAAAGGTCTATTTTTGAGAGTGTGTTTACAGACCCATAAAAATAACTAATAATATAGATATTGCATTTTAATATGAATTAAGAAAAAACATTTGTATGTTATTTTTATTGATGTTTCTAGCTTAATTAGTCAAAATGTGTATAGTGTATTCTTTCAGAAATATTTTCGCCATTTTGACTAAAGGATAATTCATGTTTTCTTTGTAGCTCACAGCTGTAAACAACCAGAAACGCCAACACACGCTAATGTTGCGGGAATGGATCTTCCATCACTTGGCTATACCTTGATTTATACTTGTCAGCCAGGCTTCTTTCTGGCAGGAGGGTCAGAGCATAGAGCCTGTAGATCGGATGGCACATGGACTGGGAAAGTTCCAGTTTGTGAAGGCAAGTTCTTCTATTTCCCTCTCCCTCACTCCACCCCTCATATATCCCATTTTAGTGATTTTGCTTCCTTTCAGTCTAAAATCAGTAAGGCAGAATGGTGAGGAGAGAACATCTAAGGGCATAACTGTGTTTAATGAGAAACATGCTTTCATGTACTTATATTTCTTTTTCTCGGAGATGTCAATTTCAGATTTAATTCTGCAAGCCAAGTACATTGGTTTTAGATGCATGACTGGACTACAGACCAGAATGTACCTAAATGTGTGAGACATACATTGATATGTTAGATCTTTTTGCATGTACTTATATGTAGATGAGGATGATTTTATTTACAGAGATTGTGGCAGTAGCAAGCTAGCTCTGGCAGTTGCAGTGTTATATAAGTAGGCCTAAAGTTCAAGCAGATGTCTAGGATGTTCCATGGGCTTCTTGTTGTTTTACATTTGTATTTAAGATGTAATATTCTATTTGCAAAGGCTATTAATATATATTAATATTAATATATATGAGAATATATATTCCTTCTATTAATATATAATATAATTTAATATATTAATATACATTAATTATATATATGTATAAATATATATAGTATTAGTATTTTCAAGGCTATTAATACTTGTTTTTAATCTTTACTACATACTTTGTCACAACATCTCATGAAAAAAATCATGGCAAAATCATGATATCAGAAAGGAAGCTGCCAGGATGCTCATGATTTGTTCTGTCCTGGGAAGTATTGTGGCAGGGCAATTCCGATTCATGAGTTGTATGTTGATAAAAGATTTTTTTGCTGATGATACTAAAACAAATTATGTTAACAAGAGTTCACAGATAGAGTTGTCCTATCTGATGATGAAAAATCTTTGCAATCTAACGTATTACATATAAGAGTTTCCCAAGGTCCTAAGGAAATGTTGCAGAAATATTAGTTCACTTCTAAACTGTCTTGGGAAATGGATCAACTAATTCCCTGTTTCCGCAGATAGTTCAGTCAAGGGCTGCTGCTCAATAGGTAGTATGGACAAGATTGCTCTGTTTGCCTCCTTCTGCCTTTCCACAGCTCTCCAAAAGTATCCCAGCAGGATTTTCACTACATACTTTTATTCCCACCCACTTTTTTTTTTCCAGGTTCATATAATAAAAACAGAACTTCTGAGTTGTAGAATTATTTTGAATATTTTGAATTGAAAAGACATTATTATGTATCATGTTTATACCTCAGGACCAGATGTGGCCAGTAAAAGATGGACCAAATGCAGTATACTACCTGCACAGTCTCCTCTAAAAATAAAGTTATCTCTCAACAGTATAGGTATGGCCACTACCTGGAGAGAAGGGATGGATATAGAATTTAACATATAGAATATAGAGGTGGCTTAAGAAGGTATTTCATTAATATGACATGGGAATTCCTTACCTCTCTTTGGTATTCACTGCCAAGTGGCTACTAGAGCTGCAGATATTGTGACTCATTAATGCAAAACACCTAAGGAAAGATATTAAGTTATATAAACATTTATTATAGTGAAAGGTGCCAGTCTTCAGTGTAGAAGATTTGTGTGAAAGTAGCAAACCCAAAGGAATCCCCCTTAGCAGTAAAACTACTTCTCTCTTGCTGCAAGATACTGAATTTAGCAGCTGTTTCAACTTTTAAAAGGCAAGTAATAAGCACTGGCATCTTTCTCTTTTCATAAAAGTTTTGATTTATTATTTTGCAAGTGGCACTCAAATCAGAATAATAGCAAGTTAAGTTTTTAGGGTCAGAATTCTTGCTTCTTGCAGTTTAACAATGGAGAAAGATAAGAATGAACAGTATATTGTAAAATATTAAGTCCAGCTGGGTAAGTAAAACATCTCTTAAATATTTCAACCTTACCTAATACACAGAGAGGTGGTAGGTGAAACACCTCTCTCCTACAGGTAGGAGAAAAGCACTGGGTCAGTTTGTTCATTGGGGATGGTGAACTTCATACAAATAGGAAGAGATGAAAAGGAATAAAAGACTTGGAAAGGATTGTATACAGACCCTATAAAAGGATTTGTAGAGAGATTAAGACAGAATTTTTCTTTTAAATACAAGTCTGCAGTCTTAAAGTCCTGCAGAGACAGTGTACCCAAAAATGTGCATTCTGTTGAAAATTGTTTCAGTTTGATCATTGTATTTATATTTTGTATTTAAAATTTAAATCAGATTTAAATTTTACTTTGAATTTAAAAATTCAATTCTGAGCTTGGCAAGAAATGTATCTTCCTTGACAAGATCGAGCAACTCATTAGCAACATTGCTAAATCATACCCTCTAAGTCAGCTGTGTTTAGTGAAGCTCAAGTTTATTTCTAAACACAGAGGAAATAGAGATGATATTATGCCCATTTTAGCTGATCAATGAATTGTAAGAACAATAAGCAACCCAAGAGACTTTTATGTTAAATTCCCTCCTTGACAGTTTTAACATATATGTCAAGAGCATGGTTTCTGTAAAAACTTAATTTCAGCACTCTCAAGGAAAGCATTCCTAGTGCTCCCTGTTGAATTTTCCTACTATGGAGACAAATAGCCCACTCAGGGAGCAGGTAGTTGCTTTTCTTTTATGTATTTAAGGTCTAGGTTCCAAGTCAAGATCCAAAAAACAATATATTAAAATAATCACTGGAGCAAGGAATGGAACCTAATAGTACATGAGTACATTACAATAGCAGATAGAATTATTTGTCTTCTTTATGGTACAGGAATGAATCTAAATTAATTTCTATGATAAAGAAAGAAGGAAGGGAGAAAGGGGGAGGGAGAGAGGGGAGGGGAGGGAGAGAGGGAGAAAGGGAAAGGAAGGAAGGGAGGAAGGGGGAGGAAGGAAGGGAGGAAAGGGAAGGGGGGAAGGAAGGAAGGGGGGAGAGGGGGAAGGAAGGAAGGAAGGAAGGAAGGAAGAGAGGGAGGGAGGGAGGGAGGGAGGGAGGGGAAGGAAGGAAGCAAAAGAGATTCAGCTGGAAGAAGAGGCAGTGCCCCATCACATTTAATGCATCATGTTCAAAGAGGAGAGTTCCTGCTCTAGGCATAGAAGAATTGTAAATCAGATCTCTAACTTCTGCTGCTCAGATTAGCTGAGCTTGGAGAACCTTGTTTGCTTCTGCTGCTGCTGCCATGCTTTAAAATAAATAGTGTCCTTCTCCTTTTTAATGCATCCCTGGGTTTTCAGTCCTGAAATATTAGAAGACATCTAAAAAAAACTAGATGCCTGCTCCAAAACTGTGTGTTCCCAGAGCTACTGTTTGGGTACTGCAAACAACTTGGTAATGTATAGGTGACTTTAAAGCAAATGTGTCATGGAAGAAATCAGTGGGCATGTGCTCCTGTTATACTGAATTTCTCTTCCTTTGTCATATTTGGAATTTGAAGAAGCACCTTACAGCCTATGTAATGAATAGATTCCGTTATGGAAGTGGGTTTTACTGGGTTTTAAGTGGGAGACTTGCTCGTGATTTGTCATGTTGTCATTCATTCTTTCCAACAGCTGGTTCCAAAATATTGGTGAAGGATCCCAGACCAGCTTTGGGAACACCAAGTCCCAAACTAAGTGGTAAGTACTTCGATAACTACATACTTTTAAACAAAATTTCTGTAGAAAAGACAGTGGAATCTGTTTACTGAGGCTACATAGAATGACTTAGAATGAATAAAGTTATCAAATTAGCAATTGAATTAACAGAAAAAAATAAAGCATTATTTTTCCCCAATATTTATGTCCTTCCAGACTATACATATTTTGTGTCTGTCAACATTTTCTGATTATTGATTTTGGTTAGAATTTTATTGATTTCAAAGAAGTCACTTTGTTTTGTGTAAGACCTTGTGTAATGTACAAATTCGGAAACTATGTTAATCTGTCAGAAATAAATTTTTCTGCCAGAAAATTTTCTAACAGAAATAAAGGCTGTATTAAAAAAGTGAAATTGTTATTGCAACTGCTTTTAGAGCAATTGCACTTATTAACAGTAATTTTACTGTGGTGTCCAAGAACTTAGGATTTTGCTCAGTTAAGGGCCGGATATGCGAAGCTGTGTTATGAATGGAGTATCACAGTATGGAGTACAAAGTGTCACAGAATCACAGAATGGCTGAGGTTGGAAGGGCCCTCCAGAGATCATCTAGTCCAACCCTCTGCTCCAGCAGGGACACCCAGAGCACGTGGCACAGGGTGACATCCAGGGGGGTTTTGAAGATCTCCAGAGAAGGAGACTCCACAACCTCTTTGGGCAGCCTGTTCCAGGGCTCTGTCATCCTCACAGGAAAGAAGTTCTTCCTCATGTGGAGATGGAACTTCCTGTGTTTCAATTTCTACTCTCTACTTCTTACGTAACATTTTCATTAAAGATAATATGGTATGTATTCAAGTAGATACTTGTAAGTCAATAGTATCATTTAAATATGTTTACAAGGATTTTAATATCTTAATAGATGTTAATTTCCGCTAAACTTAATTGCAGCCGTACATTTCTGCCTGTCTGTGCTTTCATGGAGTGGATTTCACAAGGAGAAGAATCTGGTCTTTTGGTCACAGACATTACTTTTGACTCCAGAAAGCTTTATGTTAGTATATACCCATATTTAAAGGAAGGCACAAGTGAAGATATAATAGTGACTGAGTTCCTTGATACTAATGCACTTCCTTCGTAAATCTTCATGTGAGCATTTTGTGCTTTATATGTGAAGGTTATGCCCAATAGGTCTAAGAAGAAGAGAGAGGAGAGTACAAAAAGTATGTTATTTATTATACATTTTTCTGGATGTTTGTCTTCATAAGTACAAAATATTACAATATGTAATTGAAATATGCTTGATGCCTGTATAGTTCCTGATGATGTATTTGCCCAAAATTATATATGGAAAGGATCTTACAATTACAAAAGCAAGAAACAGCCTATGACGTTAACAGTCACCAGTTTCAATGCAACTTCAGGAAGAGTAAATGCAACGCTTACCAACAGCAACATGGAATTGCTGCTTTCAGGTAGGGAATATGAAAAAAACTCATTTGAATTTATTTATTTTTACTACTTTGTATGAATTTATTGCCTGTAATTTTATGCTTTACACTTAAACAACTGCTACAACTGAGAAACTTTATCCACTTATCAAAGAAAATTTGATTTAATTCAGTTCCTATTTGAAGAGAGTTTTTTACCTTGACAGCTGGAATGAACAGGGAATGAGTGTGAGAATAATCCAAATTCTCAAACATTCTTCTTTCTTAAATATTATAAATACACTTAAATTATGGTTCTTGAGATTTTCTTAGTTCTTAAATGTCAAAATTTCCCTATTTTTTTCCCTACAATAACATAATAGTGGTTTAAAAGTAGTATGATGCTATTGATATGTATTGACTTCAGCACAAACAGGTAATTAAAGAACAATGAGAACATGGAGAGTTAACAAATTTTGTTAGACTAGCTGAAATAGTTAAAAAAAATCAGGCTTCACAACAAGTCTTTGATTGTGGTATTAGTTTACATTATTCCCACTGTCTCTGCATATCGGAGCACTGTCACCATGGTTATGCTGGCACAACAACATGCAGTGTTCTCTTCGCAGTGGGAACTGCAGATATGGTTTGACAGGCAAGCAAACCAAAATTCTATAAAAATGTTTGGGTTTGTAATTTTGGTTTGATTTTCAGTCCCTGTCAGTTTCTTGACTGAATTCACAGCACAGCTATGCACACAGTGTTGTTGTCACACAGTGTTGCTGCAGGAGGGGCAGGCTGTACACAGGGCTGTGGATAAGCAGCACAAAAGAACCGCCTTAAATCAGTATCCTTGTTGAAAATTTGGTTTCCTGTAACCTCACTATCTGCCTGTGACACCCTTCACAAGGGGCTGCTGAAGCCTAAAAATTAAAGTTAAATGTAGGCTGGACACTGTTCTTAATCTTGTTTATCACCTAAGGAGCCCCTTCTCTCAGGTAGTTTAACACACAGAATCACAAAATGGTTAAGGTTGGAAGGCACCTCTAGAGATCATCTAGTCCAACCCTCCTGCTCCAGCAGGGACACCTAGAGCACATGGCACAGGGTGACATCCAAGCAGGGTTTGAAGATCTCCAGAGAAGGAGACTCCAGAACCTCTCTGGGCATTTACATGACTGTTTTGAGGGAGGTTTAGTAAGGAGAAAAGTGACAGGACATTAGCCTGATGGTAAAAGGGGTGAGAGGTGGGGAGGGGGGAAGTTATATGAATATCTTTCTGAGAGGGCTGTTCAGGACATTGGGAAGCACAATGGGACTCTGACCAGAGAGTCCCTCTCTCTGCTGAGTTCGTAATTTTCACTGTCTAGTAAACTGATGGTTTTCTTAGGTCTCCTTTGAGACTCAGAATTGAGATATTCTACATGAACTGGTGGTTTCCTAAAAATATTTTCTGACTAGTAACTGTATTTTCTTGAATGTCTGTATGAATTTGTTCTGTCATCTATTGTCTGTGTAGTTTCAGCCATGTAGCTTCCAAGGGGCTGTTAGGTGCAACAAATGTAGTATTTCACATATTAGGATTATTAAATTAAAAACTGTTTTTTTTTTCACCAAACAACCTCCTTCCCCAGAAAAAATCATTCCCCAGTTGAAACAAATTACTACAAAATAAGATTACTACAAATGCCCCTTTGTACACTACATACAGGTGTTGCATATTTCATCTTCTTTCTCATGTAATTAATGCTGTCTTCTTTACCCATTTTATAGATAGGAAGCTGACATGCTATGTATTAAAATAGTATCTTAGGGTCAAGGATCTATGGATAGATCAAAAAAACATTTAGTTGTCAGAAAGTTGTTTTTTCCTGTATGTGACTTGTGTACATCTGAGCTGAAAAGTAATTCTCTTCCCCCTGCAGTCCTCACTGTTTTTCATTCCATCTTGTTCATTGATACTTTCCATCATATACTGCCTTTTTTTTCACTTCTGTTTTTTTTGGCACTTCTGCTTGCAGTGATTGTGTTGTAAATCTCTGTCATGCAAGTTAGAAGTGAGTTAGCTTAATTGAAAATAAGAATGCTGTTATAGGGACTGAGAGGAAAGGAAAGTATAGCTGTACAAAAATGCCTGGGAGGATTTATTTATTGATTTGGCTCAGACTAGCCACTGTCTTGTCCACTGGGAAAATAGTGGCCAGCTCTGAAGAAGCACATCAGCCTCTCATGGAGTACTGTCTGTGAATCTATCACTGTAAATTAGTAGAAAACAGCAGTGTTTTACTCTGTGGGATAATTTTCTCTATATTCTTTCTTGAGCATTCATACATAATGTTCATGCTCATGTATACAGACCAGAGGTCCAGTGTCATACAAATGTTTTCTAGTGTATATTTGTGCAATGAATTCAGATGTGAACATTTTTTCCCAAACTCCAAGTGATAATCAGAGGCTTGCTGTTCAAACTCTGAAATGACAAAGAGCTATATGATAAAGTTTAAGTCCTCAAAATAACTAAGGAGGGAAAGAAGGAAGGAAGGAAGGAAGGAAGGAAGGAAGGAAGGAAAGAAGGAAGGAAGGAAAGAAGGAAGGAAGGAAAGAAGGAAGGAAGGAAAGAAGGAAGGAAGGAAAGAAGGAAGGAAGGAAAGAAGGAAGGAAGGAAAGAAGGAAGGAAGGAAAGAAGGAAGGAAGGAAAGAAGGAAGGAAGGAAAGAAGGAAGGAAGGAAAGAAGGAAGGAAGGAAAGAAGGAAGGAAGGAAAGAAGGAAGGAAGGAAAGAAGGAAGGAAGGAAGGAAAGAAGGAAGGAAAGAAGGAAGGAAGGAAGGAAAGAAGGAAAGAAGGAAGGAAAGAAGGAAGGAAGGAAAGAAGGAAGGAAGGAAAGAAAGAAGGAAAGAAAGATTAGCAGCAAGAGAGATATGACAACACTTTAATTCCAATTTTTTGCTGTAGAAATCTGTATGACACAACAATATAACCCACCTTTTTCTTCTGACCATGTATACAAATTTCTACATTCTAATTTGAAAACTGTGCTGTTTCCCAGATCTTCTCTTTGCAGCACCACCATCCGATAATAGGCTAATTGGCTGTGTCAGCATTTCCTCCTTCTCCACCCTAAGACCCTAGCAGCACTAAGTACCTCTTCAGATCAGAAGGTCTAGATATTTCTTTCCTTCAGTTACTGTGCCTGTTAGTGCCTTAGCTACATTTTTTCACTGCAGAATGAGAACATTCCTATAGCTCCTATATATCTCCTGTAGCGGAGGGCTCTCTTTAGTTCACGTTCCTATTACAGAATTTAAAGAAACATAGAAAATTGGAAATAAGCAACTTGAGGACATTGTTTCACTACTTGAGTTTTAAGTTAGTTAAGTTAAAAAGAGATCTAGTTTAATTCATGCTTAGCTAAAACATACTGGCTATATCTAGTCTGAAGTCACCCACATTTGTTAGTCAATATAAATTAGGAAAAAAAAGAAACCAAAGTCTATTTGTCATTTGCAATATGACATCTATGATATATCGAGTCAATCAATCGGTGAGCTTTCATTTCCATTTGGTGGAAATTCATGGAGGTGGGGGAATCATGTTTTGGGTGTATTTCTTCTTATTTTGGGGAGTTTCAGTTTTGCTTCTGCTAAAAGTTTTAAGCATCATCAGCTTGCATACTAGATGCAATAGAACCCTGTGTGATTTTACACAAGTAAACTTTATATGGGTGGAACAGTTACTGCAGTGCCCTGACAGAAAGGAAAATGCTAAGGAGCATTGTGATCCAAACAGCAAGGCTTCTAAGGTGTTAATTGGTAACAATAAGGGAGGGAGGGAGGGAGGGAGGAAGGAAGGAAGGAAGGAAGGAAGGGTTGTAGTTTTATTTGCCTGTATGTTCTCTTGTGATGCAAGATTAGATTACTAAACGTATTTTATTTTCATTCTAGAAGTTAAAAAATAAGGTTATTTGGATTCTAAATATTTGCTCTACAGAAATGAAAATGAGTCAATCGGTTCTGTCTATAAAGTAAATAAGGTTATATACAAGTGGTGTCATTATCTGGAAGACACAGTTACAATATTGACTGATGGAGAACAATTCAATTTTTGTGAAACCCTTTCAAATTTAGATATTTTTAATTTAGTACCTGATTTTGGAAATCTTTTTAATATGTGCATGCTTCTCTATCACATTCTTGTCTTGATAACTGAACTACGATCTCAAAAGTGAGAATCTGAGGTGCAAGTATACTCTGCCTGATTCAGAACCATATTTTTCATCTCAAACCAGCTCATTGTCAGTGTTTCTTCTTTGTTTCAGATCTATTACTATAAGTATTAAGTAGGCAGTTTTGTGAATAGTTTCCATTCTGTCTGCTCTGTGGGCTAAATTAAATACAGTTTTAATTGAAATTCTATGGTAATAGAAATAATTTCACAAAATATTTTAGCTTCAGTACTAAGAACGTATCTTAGTAAAATAAAATGTTGCTGAAAATGTTACCTACTCTTCCTCTTTTTCCTATTTAAGGTAAGAAATTAAATGTTTATTCTTAAAAATGATGTTATTTGTCTACCTAACAAATATAAACTTTAAAACTGTATCTACAGGAGTGTATAAAAGCCAAGAAGCTCGGCTGATGCTACACATCTATCTCATTAAAGCACCCTCTCATACTTCTGCAAGCAAGTTGAAAGAGGAAAAATGGGCCATGGATGGTTTTGTGAGTATTTTCCTACCACAAAATAGAAAGAAAGCAAAGAGTTTTTTTTTTTTTCCTAATTATTGTTATTTGAAATCACGCTGGTGTTCTGCCCCCAGAATGTTGAGACATATCAAGTGAAATGCCGTTCACAATGATGAGCTATTAGAGGAAATGAAAATATCACTGTAGGATGTTAGGGACCCATTTGAGAAAAAAATATGGAAATTACCATACTTCATGGCATTCTTAGAGTACATGGGGGAAAAAAAAAAAAAGGTTGCTTCTCTTTAAACTTTATTGAATGATATTAAGAATTTTTCTTATCATTATCATACAATATCATAGCAATTTTCATCATTAAGTTAACAGTCTTATTTTAGTTTTTGAAGATATTCTTAGAAATACTCTGAAAAAGCCAAACTGGATGGGGAAACTTGAATATATACCTCCAATTAACTGGAGTCCATTGGAGTTTCTGGGATGAGTTTTAACTGTAACAGAGATGAGGAGAGTGCATGAATGAGAGGAGGAGAACTGAAGGAGATGCTTGGATGTTTCTAAATCGTGAAGAGGAAATCCCTTCAGAGAACCCAGAGGAAAAACTATCCCGAGAAGAAAGTACCAGTAGATTAGTGAAATGTCTTATTTTAGAACATGGTTACTCTAGTAAGGGAGATACTCATAGGGTCACAACCCTTTTCCCACTCCCCCAGGTCTTCCAGGCTTATACTAGTATGTCTCGTTCTTGTACCAAAGCCTCATTTAATATTCTTCTTGTCTATTGCTGTAGAATTAATTACTGTAATGAACACTGAGTATGAACAAAGCAACTACCTGTCAGTTGATCGGAGGGCTTTTTTATTATTATTTCAAGTGATAATTAACAACTCAGTGCCTTGTATTGTCTTCCACATGACTTTTGTCATCCACTCCATAAAAATTCATGTAATTGTCAAGTATGTAAGATGCTTTGCAATGCTGATTTCTTGAATTGCTAGGCTGTTTAAGCTTTGTTGGTTTTATATATAATTTGATTCAAGGTAGTGAGGGTATTATATCTGGTCATTCTGGCATTTCTAGATTGTCCCATTAACATATTTCTTACCCTTTGTCTTTCCTTTTGTGCTTCATACATTTCATAGCGGTGTTTTTTTAATTTATGTATTTAATCAGTTAATGGTGAATAATGGTAAGCAGTCAAGCATAGTAGAGGACCTCTCTGAATTAGATACTAGTAACCAACTTCTCCTTATCCAATTGTAAATGTTTTTTGTTTACAGGTTTCTGCGGAACCTGACGGAGCTACATATGTTTTTCAAGGATTCATCCAGGGTAAAGATTATGGGCAATTTGGACTTCAGAGATTAGGTATTCAACAAATTCTAATTTAAGAGCTTTATCAGCACTGAGATTTTACAAAAAAAAATACTGACGTGTCTTAAAATCACATTTAAAATACTACTTATAAAAAATGTTTTGTCATATACAAAGCTGTAATTGATTTGTAATATGCTTCTTATTAAAGCTATATTTTTGCAATGTCTTCAACAATACATTTGTAGGAATGCATGTAATTCATTTAATTCTGCATCTTAATCATTGTTTAGAAAGCATGTGTTTTAGAATGGGCATTATGCTAAATAGACATTAGTTCTTGGCACTGAAACAGTATTAAACCTAGAGTGATCCTGTTGAATATTTTTAATTCCCCATGATAAGCCTAAGAAGACCACAAATTTAATGAAGTGATAAACAGCTATTTCCCGGAAGTTGACTTCTTTGATCTATAAATTAAATTCCAAAATAATAATTAATTATTCTTTCTGGAGAAGACATGATTGGAAATAAAAACATTTCTGTTCTGTGCTTATTAAAAGAAAAAAAAAATTAACGCGATTATCTGATAAAGTCCTTTGAGAATGTGATATTTTTTCCTTAAAAAATTTATCCAGTGGTAAAAAGCTGAGAAATGTTGAGAAAGTGTTAGAAGAGGAAATATTTCTTGTAACAATTATTCCTTCTTAAATAGAATACTTTTTTTTCCACATAAAATTACAGTATCTGGAAGCAAGCATAGGTTATTCCAGCCAAGATGCTTCACTCTTAGCTATCTTATTGTCTAAGCAAAATCAAGAAATTTTTAACATGAATACTTCTTTAACATTTTGGAAGTTTTATTAAGAATGTATGAAGTAAAGGAAAACTTTTTTTTGTTTGTTTTACAATTCTATGACTATTTTGATTTCCATGACATTTGATATGAAAATGTTTTAAAAATAATTTTTAGAAATATATTCAGCAAGGAACATTTCTTTTAAATTAATATTTTAAAATTTCCCAGCAAGTTAAGTAAGAACAGCTTTCCTTTAACAAGTTTACCATTTTATTACTTCATCCAAAGAAAAAAAGCAAATTGATCCTTTGAAACAAAATATTTTGATTGTTGTTCCTAGTCAGTTTTTCTTCCAACATTTGATTCAATTTTATGCATTTTAATATATTGATTATCTAATTTCTTTTTGTTATTTTCCCACTCTTCCTTTATAAGATTGATAAAGCTTAAAAACTAACCATATAATTCTTAGTTGGACTATTTCAAGGTTTAAAATGAACTGCAAAGCTGAACGAGTATTTTCTTCTCCAAATAAAAAACTGTATATCTTGACTGTGTAGATATTCTAATTGCTGAAGATCGTGTTCTTATTTTTCTGTCAATATCTGGATTTTGTTCTTAAAACTTTTTCCTACCTCTTACGCTCTGTGCATCAACAGCTATGCCTCATTAGGTCAATATGCCTTTTCAGGTGATGTTTATTTTATTTTAGTTTATTTTTTTATGAATGGACCTTTTTTTTTCCTTTCCTATGTAAACAGATAATTATTCCAAATTTGACATTTTTTAACTCAGTACATTAATGTCTTATTTATTTCCATAATTACGACAATGAACAATAACTGAACAAAGTATTTAAGGCTTCATAGCATAATATCAAAAACTAGAAAAATACAGGAAGACAGTTACATCCCGTTGTCCTAACATTCAGCGTCCACTTACTTCTCACAGTATGGTATTCTATATTATATTTAGTGTTCTGGTAGTCTTAACATACAGCTGTATGAATGCACCTAGTCACGAGATGTTATTTGATCTGAAAGCTCTTTAGCTTTTACTGAATTCTGAACTTTATACAATAGTATGTGTCAGAGTAACAGATACTATATTGCTTGTTTCTTCCTATTTTTTCAGGTCTTAATATGTCTGAGGGTTCAAATTCTTCTAATCAACCACATGGTACAAATAGTAGTTCAGTGGCCATTGCTATCCTTGTGCCTTTCTTTGCCCTTATATTTGCAGGTTTTGGCTTTTATCTTTATAAACAAAGGTAAGCACAAATTAATTATATATAATCTCTGTATTAATTTGTGTTCTTATTGTCCATAAACCTTGTCAGAGTAAAATAAGATTTGTGCAAATCACAAATTTTACAAAATCCTTGTAAAATGTTGTTCCTCTCTGTGTTTAGGTATCACTGAGAGATTAGATTATTGCACCGTGATGTACTTTAACTCCCACCTATTTAAAATGTTATAAATCTCCCTTTTATAAGAACACAATGGATAAGATAAATTATTGGCATTCAGGAAATAATCAGTAGATTTTTGTGTTTGCTTGCAGTAATTTGTATTTTGTTTTGATATGTAGCAGAATTAACAATCATATCTTCAGTAATTTATTTTAATGCCTGCTCTTTTTATTGGCTTGCAAATATAGACAAGTATTATGTCAGTGAAGGGTTTCATTATGGAACTGTTTCTATGTCTAAAATTATTAGTTCATATGTGATTATGCCATACAAGTACCATAGTCTTCTCAGGGTTGTTCTGTTAGTGTGAGTTCAACAACATTTATCACTGTAATGAAAAGACAATTCATTGCCTACTAGTAGCTAAACTGGTGACTTGGTGTTGGTAGCCTAACTATAATTGTACCACACTCTGCAAAATGGCATCATTTTAAAGCACGTGCCATCATTTTTTTATCTATACTATTTTATTTTGAACTGGTTTAGAATGTGAAGGAATGCTCAAATGGTATTATTTTTTGCATTTGCTATAAACTGTATGATATAATAGTTTATCTTTACATTTTATATATATAATTTACAATATACTATATATTTTGAATTATAAAGATGGATTTTTTTCAGGGAATTAAACTAACATAATGAGTAATTTAGTAAAAAAGAATATTGTTCAACTAGAAATTGGTTCTCAATTTATTGCATTTTCAGAGGAAAAAGAAAAGTCTTGGTGTCTGTCTGTAATTTAAATTGTTGTATTTTAACTGCTTATCATTTGGCTTTTCAAGTAGAAATACCTACTTCTTTTGAGGTTATTAACTGAGTTTTCAGATGAACCCCTGTTTAAATGAATCATAAAAACCTTACACATTACTTTTTCTTTCTCTAACAGGACTGCACCTAAAACACAGTATACAGGATGCTCTGTACATGAAAATAATAATGGACAAGCTGCTTTTGAAAACCCCATGTATGACACAAATGCAAAGTCTGTGGAAGGGAAAGCTGTACGATTTGACCCCAACTTGAACACTGTTTGCACAATGGTATAATGTGGTAATGATATATCTTCAAAGTCTGGAAATTGAAACACAACACAGTGCACATATAGTTCACTGATGACAAAAAAAAATTAAAGCACACTTTTCAGGATATGCTGGGTCACCTTTTCCTGAGGATGATAGACAAGAGTGGGTTAGGTTATTTGTTTTGTTTTGTTTTCATAAACTGGATCAGAATCGTCTTCATGTTTCCTGTGGAGAGTTTTACAAAAATTCTGCTGCACTCCATGAGTGCTTACTCACGGTTTATTTGCTTTTTTAAAAAAGGAGATTATTCTAAAACATAAAACCTATTTGCATATATTGGAGGAGCATCCACTATCAGTACTTCTGTGCGTTATAAAAACTATAATAGAGGGTCTGGTTTAAAAAAAAAAAGATATAGATAGAAAATAAAAGCTATACTTAACAGGAGATAATAGATCACTGACTTCTCTTTAACAGTCACATGCTTCATCTCTTTTTTTCATAAGTTTATACCATTTTTTCATTTGTTCAGTCCATTTAGGTTTTTCGTTTGTTTAATCAGTTAATTTTTAACTCCAGGTTATGGTATTTAAAATCCACAAATACAACTTACTCTTTTCACATCACAAGAAGAAAAGAAGAAAAACTAAAATGCCAAATTTTCAGATTTTAGTTAATGAGTTTATTTCCCTGTTTTATATCTTGCTTCCTTTCTTCATGTTACAAGTCAAGCTCCTTTCCTCTGTTTTCATCAACAATACTCACAGATAGTAATGGGTACAAATTGGTTCCTGCATTCCTCTTGTCAACCTTACAATTAGGTCAATTTTGCAATCAAGATGCTAGGATGCATTGTAGTTTGTTATGTGGCTTACTGATGAAGATCATTTGGAAGAGTGAAAAATTTTTCTTTTTTTTCAAATGTTAAAACATACTTATGTTTCCAATTGAAAAGTGCAGCTTAAAGAAACATTAGGGATCAAATTAATCTATCAAAATTATAAGGGTCCATATTTCGACCCATTCTAGTTAATCTAGATTGTATCTTGTCAATTTATTCCTTCAGCATTCTGTTGAAATGCATGCACAGAGCATGGCAAAATCCCATTGAAGTTGATAAAAAGAGTCTAACATACTTAAATGATCTTTGGATAGTGCCTACAAGGCAAAAGGGGATTATAGTTTGAAAATACTGTGTTTTCATGTTTATTTTATCTCTGTATTTTATGGAAACAAATCCGTACAGTTAATGATTTAAAAAGAAATATATTATCATAGTTCATTGAAAATAAAATTATTAAAATAAATAAATAAGTCAATAAAGCCATGATTTTACTAGAGGCAATCCATATTAGGGACAATTCCACAGCCCTCAAATACAAGTTTTAGACATTCCAGAAGCACTTCTAAGAAAATATACTTTTTAGTTTTGCAGTTGTTTCATAACAGAATTATTCAATGGCAACTCAGTAATTTATTTGATGTAGGTCATTGTCTTCCTTTTATAGCATGACTCACAAATACTGTGTGTTAGCCAGTGTGAATTATCTGTTATTGTCCCTTTCAGACATTAATGATTCTGTGGAAATCTAAACTTTTTATTATCGTAATAGAGAGTGCCTACCAAAAATCATTGTTCCCAGGATTGCTGCTTGGATTTCTATAATGTTTGATGAATTTCTTATAAACCATTTTACAACACTTTGTTTTGAAAATTCATACAACTCTGTCAAACTGTATTCTACTAAAAGGATGCCGTTTTATATTTTATACCATTAGTTGTTATTTATTCTTGTTTATTCAAATGACTGCAATAACTATGATTCATTCATTAATGTTAAGGTTAATACATTTGAGATCGTTTAAAATGTTTCTTCTGCAACTGGCTACTCCTCTTATATTAATGCATACACTTTTGTAAAGAAGTATATTTTTATGAAAAAAGGATTTGTAAAAGTATGATGTAAATTTTCAGTGCAATGTAAACGAAATAAAAATGGACAATTGCTTTTTTACCCTTGTTTCTTCTTTGGAATATGAGCTTTAAATCCATTTCAGATGTGAAGACTAGAAAATAGCCAAATTAATCATTTAAATTCCCTGTTTTTGTCAGTCTTAAAAGTAATTTTGTTTTCACAGACTTTCTGTGTATTTTAGATAAAATACAAAATTTAGAATTACTTTCCCAAATAAGCAATGAATCCAAAGTGGACACTTACTTATGTACGATAATTATTTTTTCAATCGACTTGAAGAGGCAGATTTACAAGAAAGGTCTGTACTAGTCAACCTAGTGTGAAACACAGAAAAGTCTTCTTTTTTTTTTTTCACTCTTTAAAAGAAAACATTGCAAAAGCTTAGTGTTCCTGAAACTTGTAATCTTCTTGCTGAAGTTTGCTATCTTTCTGTAGAAATACAAAAACACACTTATTAACAGATAATACTAGTGCATACAGTGTTTTCTGGTATTAGAAAATTGTGATGACTTTCAATGACATTAAACTGGAAAGGGGAAATTACAAGGGGAAATAATGAGAAAATGCTATTTTTCTATAAAATGAAAAATGTCTTTTTGCTCACATGCCAGGAAAGTGGATAGCAAATCATGATTTGAAACTCTATTCATGGACTACAATTGTGGAAAAGAAAATTTAATATTATTTTGAGAATTTGATGCTAAATGTAAATTAAAAAGGCTTGTTCAGGCCCACTTTGAAATCAGTGAAGTTTGTTTTGCTGAATGGATTGAAAAGAGAAACAAGAAGTCACCATAAAAGTGGTATTGCGAGGGTCATGCCCTGTTTTTTTAGGAGGCTTGAGCAAATTAGTTAATTCTGAGAAGGGGAAGATACAAACCTGTTACACAGTGGGCAAATTTTAATACACAGACTATCAGTTCCTTTTTGGGCTTATGCATATGTGTTTTAATGTATAAAAATTGAACTTCCTTAACAATTTTGTTAATGATCAAAATAGAATACATCTTGCACTTTTCAAGAGTTGTACTGACTTCATTGTATACAGAATGAACTATTCATAATTGACTTAGTTTTTAATGTAGTTTCCTTAGCTAAATGATTCATAATTTGTGAGTGAAGTGTGCATCTTTTTTTTCACGGCAGAGTGGTTATTTTGACTGTGGCATATGGAGTTTCAGGTTAAGTTGCTTGTTTGGGGTTGGATAGCTCTATCAGCTACCTACTGATTCTTGTTTTTCTCAGGAAGACAGCAGGAAAAAAAAAAAAAGGTCTGTTTTTCCACTAGGCTTTCTGGCTACCTCGTTCAAGAAAACACACTACACAGAGAAAGTGTGGAAGAATGCAGGGAAGGTTTTGTGAGTCTTTTGGGGATTAAAGTAGCTTCTGCAGTACTAAGGACTTAGAAATTTCAAATTTATCTTAAGTTTCTATAACTACAGCCACTAAACAGTGACTCTGGGAGCATTTAAACTATGCACTTTGCAACTCATTGAGCTTTATTAATTCTCCATCCTCTGCTCATCATGAACCATCTGAACAACTCATTTTCATTAAAGCTATACTAGGATTTTACTCTATAATGGAATCCAGATACCCAAACACTAGTATTCAACTTCCCCAAATTAGCAGTTCTATCAGAACTATCCAGACAGATGAGCCAACACAAAATATAGCTAAAGATTTCTGATTTGTGTTTGTGAAATACAGCTGGATTTAATATGTATGCAAAATGTACTGTCGTGTAAAAATTCTTTGACAACATGAAGGCATTTTTGTGGGGAAAATAATAGTTACAAGTTTTATAGTGCCTAATAAGAGAGCCGGTGGAAAGTAAACTAAGCCTATAAATCCCGTCTTTGAAACAAAAACAGCTTTTCTTTTCCAAGTCTTAAAAGCAGATGCTATATGTAAACCCATTAGTGTAGTTGGCTGAAGTGTTGTGAAGTATCCATCATTTTTTCCAATATTAGTGAAATGAGGGGAATTTCAAATTTTGGATATGACTGTACAAGCAGGTGAACAGATCTGTATTCCAGGGTGTAGATTCAGTTTTAAGTCCTACTCTTACACTAATTAATACAGTATTGTAAGTAAAGCGTAGATCACTTCTGCAGGAAGTTACCTTCTTACCTATATATTTATTTTAATCTTTAACTATACATTTATTTTTAACCTTGTGTATACCTCTGTCCGTGCTGTTTCTGTAAAAAGATGATCCATACCTTTTTTCCTCTTTGATCACTTTTTTTTTCTTGATTCCACAATGAAAAGCACAGCATATTTTGAAAAATGCTTCTTTGAAAGATTATCAGAATTGGAGAATATGGCTTGTATTATTTGTTGTATTAAAACTCCCTCAATCTTTATTAGATTGATCATAGTCTTCGTTAGACTGTTCTGTGAAAATTGTATTCAACTTGAGATTGACATTAGATAGCAATTTCTGTCCGTTATGTGTCTGTGACTTCAGAACCCACAATGCGGCAAGCAAGTTCCACTGTTTATCTCAAACTTCTTGTTTCTCATTTTACTGTCATTAGTCACTTCTACAGAAAATCTACCCAGCATTTCTGAAAGCCTAAAGATTTCAAAGATTTCCTAAAATCTGGAGCTTCTGTAATTTTGTTTTGATGTGATATCAAAGTCCACTCAAAAACAATAGAAAAAGATGCACTACATTGTTTTTGTAGGAAAGCTGGAAGTTAATAATATATTTATTACTGCCTATCAATTAAAATTTATTCTTTTTCCACCCTTTCTATTTTTTGTCTGAAATAATTAATTATTTCAAAATATAGTATTCAAGTGAGGAGAGCATGATACAGTGCCTAGAAATTCATTTAAATTTAAGATTTTTGCACTTGAAATCAATTTATTCTCCCAAATCAATGTGTGACCCTGCTGTCTTTTTAAAGAAATTAAGAATTTGTCATTTCTGCACACAGTTTATTTCTCTTTAGCTCATTCACTCAAACAGTATATCCCTCTGACCATTTTGTTCATCTGCTTTGTTCTGCTGTCCTATAAGTGATAGGACAATGGGAAAATGATTCATCATTTCAATTCCTATGGTAATAAAAAGTACAAATACCTCTTGTAAATAATTTTGAGT